CCCTCTGCCGGGGACCCCTGAAACCTCCCCACCCCCACTGCCTTCTGCCCTGACCTCTGAACCCCCCCCCACACAGCCTTCTGCCCTGCACTCCCCCACACTCCCAGCCCTCTGCCCTGACCCCTGAACTCCTCCCCGCCCTCCCCCCAGGTCTTGGGTCCCAGCTGCTGGCCCCTTGCCAGCTGGTGTCCTGGCTGCCGGCCTTGTTGAACAGAACCCCAGGCTGGCAGCGTAAGATCAGCGTTTTAATTTAATTTTAAATGAAGCTTCTTAAACATTTTGAAAACCTTGTTTACTTTACATACAACAATAGTTTAGTTATATATTATAGACTTTTATAGAGAGACCTTCTAAAAAACGTTAAAATGTATTACTGGCACGTGAAACCTTAAATTAAAGTGAATAAATGAAGATTCGGCACACCACTTCTGAAAGGTTGCCTACCCCTGGTTTACGTATTTGTAACGTACTTTGAGATAAAAGGTGCATTGTGAATGCAAAATTATTTTTTCCTGCATAAACATGAATGCTAAACCTTGAAAACTGACTAATGTGCATACACAAAATTTTTTGTTTTACTGTGCATGTATTTAACAGTGTGATCCATACGGAGTGTGAAACTTGGTGTGGATTTGCATAACAAACCATATTCCATCCTAGAAATATTGAGTAATAAAAGTCTGTCTGTCTGGAATTGTGTGTTATGTACAGAATGGGGTTTATTTTTAAAGTTTTCTCCTGTAGATGGAAGAGATAGTAGTGGACCAAATTAGACTGAAATAAAAAATATATACTGTTCTCCCCCTCACTCCCACTGCCAGCACCAACAAAAAAAGCAGTCAAGGAGGCTGAGACTGAATACTCCATAGTTTATATTGTATCATTGTAAGCTCTTGGTTGCTGTTGATTTGTGACATATAAAACAGCTATTTACAGCTCATTTAACCCACTTCTTGGAGCCAAGATTACAAAATCCATTAGTACATGCAAACTGCCATCACCACGAGCTTGTTACATAGTTCTAAATTTTCAAAAGAGCTCAGCACCCAACATGCTGAGCTCTTGTGAAAGTTCTGGCTTTAATAAATATCTGTGACTTTATTGTAAGGTATTAATACAAGACTTGTTTTTTTCCTCTTTTATCACAGGTGATCAAGCACGTACCTTTTTCTTGCAGTCAGGTCTACCATCATCAGTCCTAGCTGAAATATGGTAAGGCTTTTAAACATAAATAAATAAATTATAATATAGTATAATATAATTAATAAAGAATTGGAGATGCTTGGCTCACTTGTATAGATTTTGGTTTGATTTATGTTGCCAATTGAAAGACCACTTTCCAACTACATTATATAAAGAGTCAAACAAGAATGGTGCCTGGACTCACTTATTTCAATATATACTTGTCATATTTAAGTGTCAATATCTGTTCTAATAGTGGAATAAATTAAACTGTAATGGAACTTGAGTAAAAAGGAATGTGGTGGTATAAAAAACAAATAATGACAGACAACCTTTATTGTATTTCTTACATAATTAGTGGTTTAAGGGAATACAGTACATGTACACTTTTAGGCCCTGATCCTGCAATTAAGACTCAATGTGGCTGTACTTGGGTGAATAGGTCTGTCTGAGCAGATCTGATTACAGGATAGTGGCCACACTTGCTTTTTAGTCAAGCATTTGATCCTACTCACAAAATTCAAATTGGTCGACCATGAGCACCGTCACATGGATTAAAAACTGGCTTTAGTATCACAAACAAAGGGTAATGATAAACAGCAGGATATCAAATTAGGGGAGACATCTGGTGGAGTGCCGCAAAGTTCATTGTTAGGCCTTACATAACATTTTAAATAATATGGAAAAAGAAAACAATAGGTTAATGAATTTCCTGGTTGATACTAAACTGAATGGTATTTGAAAGACCAGTGAGACAGATATATCAGAAGTCACTAGAGAGGTTTGAAATATGGACAAGAAATAATAGAATGAGACTCAGCTTGGGGGGAAAATGCATGCTAATAAATTGGGAGTGGAAAATAGCCCAAACACAGGGAGAAACTTCAGAAGACATAAATCCTAAAGTTGTATAGTTGGGTTATAGATAGTAAATTGCATTTAATATTATTATGTAACCTCATCTTCCTTGCGTTAATTCCATCAAATAGGGTCTGCTCTCCAAGTCCTCTCCCTCCAAAGTGCTCTGTTCAGTGCCATATATTATACCACGTGTTAACGTGTCTTCCTTTATAACATCCCACCACTTCTTCTTGAATTGTCTTCTCTGTTTCCTTTAATCTTGATCTGTTAGACTCTCTTATCTACATAGTTGTCAGGACTGTGCTTGATATGACCAAATCATCTGAACCTGCAGTCCCTTATTTTCATTCATTTGGGGACTTAAAGTGTTAGTTTATGGCAAATTTTTATGACCAGCTTCGAACCTGATGCCAGTCGTTCTCCTTTTTCAACGAGGCCTGGGATTGGTTATGGCAGAGTTACTATAACGTAAGATAGCAGCTGAAAAAAAAGCCACTGCAGTTTTAGTTGACATAGGAAGAGACATTAGCTCATGAAATAGGGAGGTAATAATTCCTCTTTGTGATTTCTGAGTGCACCCCAGAATATTGTGTTTTGTCTTGGGCATTTCATTGCCGGAAATATGCAGACACATTAAAGGAAGTTTAGAGGAGAGACCTGTAAAGTAATTAAGGGTGTAGTGGAACTGACTTGTGAGGAAATATATATATTATATTCATCATCTAACCAAGATAGAAAGGGGAGTATACAGGAAACTATATATATATATATAAATAAAATGAGATACATTTACAAATATGTAAAGGGTGTAAATACAAAAAATGGATAGGAATTCTTTTTCATGGTATGTTGGGATATATGGGAACTAGGAGCAATGGAATTAAATTAAGAAAAGGGAAATTGGTTAAGTATCAGGAAAATTTTCTGACAATAAAATTTTAGATTCTATGAAGTAATCTTCCAAGGAAAGTGAAAGTTTCTGGGAATATTCTCTCAGTGCATGAGCTGTCCGTTGTATTTATTCACTGTTTATAATATTCAGTTTGGGAAAGTATCACGAGAGATGTGTGTGAATGTTAAAATTTAAAAATAAAATTCACATACTAACTGAATTCTACATAGTGATCCGTAACTATGTAGATATACTATGTAACTATATTAAGAAATTTTTAATAAGTGCCGTGTTTCAGTCTTTTGAATTAATCTCTTGTAATGCCAGATCTTCATTTAATGTGATCTATTTGTCTAGTGCTGAGCCATAATTGTTGCAATAAATGTTACACACAGGGCATGAAGGTACTACTTTGCCAGTCTGCTAGGTTCCTGGGCACTGAGTGTTTAATGTAGGATAATTTTAGAAATTGAGTCACATAAGAAGATGCCAGATGGTCTGTATTAGCATATGTAAACAAAAACAACTGTGCTTTGCGCAAAAAAGTCAAGTTCTACAATTTTCTAAGGGTTTGCACATTGTGGAAGGTCATTCATAACTTTCTGTAAAATCAATATCCGGTTAAACTACAAAAGATAGCAAGGAAATAGAATAAGACAGCAATAAATGAAATTATATAAGCACTCAGTTTTGAGTGAGAAAGTTAATGTTTCCTTCCCCCCTGTTTTTTAAGGGCTCTTGCAGACCTGAACAAAGATGGGAAGATGGATCAGCAGGAATTCTCCATAGCTATGAAACTCATCAAACTAAAATTACAAGGTCAACACTTGCCTGTGGTCCTCCCACCGATCATGAAGCAACCTCCAGTATTCTCGCCGTTAATTTCTGCTCGCTTTGGTACTTATGAATATTTAATACATTTACTGGTGTTGAGAGATTCACCAAAAAACACAAAAAAAGTATTGAGGTCCTGTGACAGACCCAGACCAGTGGGGTACAGGAGTCTGGTAGAGGGCAAATATACTGGTCACTGGATGAGTAGTTTTCTG